AAACGCTATTTCCTTCAAGCCGACACAAAACTGGGGAAAACTGCTGATCTTAGAAACAAGGAGAGAGTCCCCAGTCACTGGAAGCAGCCTTCAGATCCCACGCTGTAGCTATCTGGCTAAGTCCTTCAAGGTAGCCCCAGCCTGTCACAGTAACAGGCTTCAGAGCACAAACACCTGAAGACAAGCATTTCAACCAGCCACAAAAGGCACACACAGGATCCAAACAACAGTGCTTGATCCGACCCGAGGGATGTTTATTCAGGCTCCTCGCATGTCTCTTGGCTGCACAGGGCACTGAGGACAAATGGACGTTTTCAACAGCACGTTCGGTTGCTGAATGCTTTCTCGCACAGGGCCACTTACTTCCTCCTTCATTCCCTGCCTCGTGGACTGCCCCGCTGTCAGGAGGCTCCAGGGAGAGATGCTCTGCATGGCCTGAAGGGCTGCTCTCAAAGTGGCGCCTGGCCCGCACAGCCAAAGAGCACAAGCCAGCCCCGGCTATACAAAGAGGCCTCTCCCCTTTCCTTCAGTAAGAAGGCAAGGCAAGAAGCCCAAAGAAGGATCTTAAACAAAAATCGCATCAGGCTTAGCCCAATGACCAGCCTAAAGCTGTGCCATCAGCTCTTTTCATTTTCAGAAATGCACAGGACTCCTCCGAGCAGGGACAACCTCTCCCACACTCGCAGAGAGGAAGAGAGGTTCAGTTTGGTAACTTTGGAGAGACTCTAGGACTCCTCTGGGGGAAGACTCTGAAACCAGCGATATCACATGTACAAAAGCAGTTGATGTTTCACGCTACAACATAGCCACACCTATCTACACCCCTGGACTTCAAGGGCTCGTACCTACCTCAAGTGCCCCAAGCTGTAGTATCGCGACTCTCCGTCCGTTGACCGAACTACCTTGACAGTGAACATGGGCTGCAGCTGCCGTAGCTCCAGCAGCACAATGGCCAGGTAGTGAATGAAGAGCAGAGCATCCACCAGAGACACCGCGTACTGCACTATTCCTTGGTAGTTGGTGTCCTTCGAGTCCAAGATGCGAACGCCGTAAAAAAGCCAGTAGGAAAACACAAACAGGAATATGAGGACCAACAGAAGGGCCCGAAACACAAACACCCTTGGTATATCTGCCTTGGGCTGGCGGAAAAACAGAGCCCAGGTTCCAATCAGAAGAATGAGGAGTTTGAACGCCACAGAGATGAACAGTCCCTCACAGACAGTACCACACGGCTCCAGATCATCCCGCCACAGGATCTGGGGTAACAGAATGAAGGCGATGGGGGTAAGGAAGACAAGGAGTCCGAGAACAGCTGCCACTGTTAAGCCCAGGTAACGTCTGCAGTCCAACCCAACGCTGTCCTCCAGATCCTTACTGATCCGGGCAATGTCCTCCTGGGAAATACTGTGCTCAGAGGTGCCTGTGATTGCTGTCGTGGTCTCACCCCAGTTGTCATCCTGAAGGAGGAAGAGATAAACAAAAATAATGTTGAAACAATCAGGTTATTTCTTCCATTTTTCTTGCCTGGAAAAAGATGGCTACAACAGACTTAAGTCCCAGGAAAAAAAAAAACAGCAAAAGCAACACCTTCAACATATTGAATAATCAACCCTGAAAAATAGCAAAGGTTTGGAAACAACAGCGACTTGTCCAAACCAGTGACTACAAACATTAGGTGTTAAAAACCTGTAAATGTAGAGCAGATAGCTCAGCTTGCTATGCCACTCACTGTACCCCAGAGGTTCCTCTTCCAGCACACTTAACGAGTAATATCACATAACTCTTGGAAACTGCAGTAATCATTAGTTCCCATGTGCAGGGCAAGGACTAGCACTCTTCAGCCCACAAATTCTGTGGTGCAAGTGCACCACAGAAGCACCTGGAAGGGAAATTTTCATAGCCAGTTGTTGTTGTTGTTGTTACACAATCAAAAACATGTTCACAGATTATTTTTCCATCCGTAACAGAAGCAACCGCACTTCCAGCAAGTTCCTCCACTTCATTTTCTTTTACTCTCCTCTACAGTAGCACTGCCCTCAATAGCTGATGTTCTAATAAAAGTTTAGTTAAACCAACAGATCACAGGTGGCCACAAAGGATATTTTCAGGTATGGGGCTTTAAGTTTAGAGGATCCTAGACTACCAAGTAGCTCTGGTATTAGAGTCCAGGACATTGTCAGAAACCACTCAGCCACAAAGAAGCTTACCTGAAATACAGTCGCCATACAGTCAAGCTTCAGATTACATTACGTTTTCTGAAAGTTTCATTTCTTCCCCAGCTAGTATCAGAGGACTTCTGCAAGCTAGTTCTCCCATGCCGCAATGCCTCCAATTGCTCTTTCCTGGTGCTGGCACGGCCAAAGAGTTACACTGACATGTATGGATTTGACTCACAGCTGCTGCTGGAGTGACTCATGCACATGAAGACTCCTGATGCTTCCCACAAATACACACCAAACAGTGGCAATGCATGCGCTTTGTTGCTTGGCACCTGACACCTTTGTAGCTGCAACACTCATTCAGAAGCACACGTTTTTGCTCTTCCTCCTACCCTCCTGAGTGCATCTTCCTGCAGCCTGTGTCATTAATAGGATTTACACCTTCCCCCAGACTTCTGCAGCTACACATGCTGATCAAAGCATTTTGTTTTAAAGAAACAGGCATCATTTTAAACCTTTATTCACTTCCTTAAAAGAGTTAGAGGAAAGAGTCTTTGGGAAAGGAGTAGACAGAGGCAGCACAACTACTTTGAACAACTCCAGGGATTTAACTTCTAATGCACTCCAAGACATGAATACCTCCCATGCCTAGAGCAGTAGGGTTTTGAGACAGACCAGCCACAAGCAGTCAGCATCTTGAATTAATGTGAGGTTTTTTTGAGTCACTTCTCACCAAAACAGAGGCCCCAGAAGAGACATCTGCATTGTAGTATGTCCTGAAAGGCAGCATATAATCCTATCATACTTCCCTCTTTGCCAGTGTCTCCAGTAAAGCAATGTAAGCATTTCAACTATTTTATGTTTATGCATGAAATAGCTCTGCATAGTTTCCTCCATTTGATGAACTGAGAAACTGTGCAGAAGAGAGAAGGGACAGAAACACCACAGCAGCTTAAGTCTACAACCCACAAGACAACAGGCAACCCTAGTCTCAGTCTACCCCTTGTAACAGCTCTTGCGACTTGAAGTGACACAAGCAAAAAACTGTGCAGTTATATGGAAATACAAGTCTAAATCTCTAGTGATACAAAGTTGTTGGACCCAACCCAGGGCACCCTGCTCCTTAGGAGAAAAGTCTTGCTAATGCATCAACTTATTTTGCTTCGTCTTTAATTCACATTGAGGAGGTCTGCATGAAAACAAGGGCTTAAGAATTCACCAGCACCTTTAGATCTATTTGAAGTAATAGCTGGGACTCATGAAAACAAGCATCTGATTACAAAATACCAAATGGCAGTACATAAAGCGAGCCCACTGTAGCTACATGAATACTGTTACAAGTACTACCATACACAGTTTGGGTGGAAACTGGGCATCAATTTTTTTTTTTTGAAAGGGCAGAGTTGGAGTCCCCCAGCCAAGGACTAACACACCCCAAATCCAGACCAGGAGGCACTGAAACATCCTGCACTCTATGTCTTGCAGCATCAGCCATTCTTTGAAAATGAGTATGCAGAAAATGAGTAGAGCAGAGAGAGTACTGGATCCATCCTAGGTGCAATCTAAACGCAGCATTATTCCATTCTTTATTTAACCCAGTGTTAATGTACTAGCTTTCACTGAGTTCGCCCTCCTTCCCAGCTATTTCGCATGAGTTTTACATTTCT